GGTGGTTTGGGACTCATTTCTGGGCGTGGTGTGGATGAGTGATAGATTCTTGTGTGGGTGAGGGGTGGTTTAGGGAGTAACACATGCTCATTTGTGGTGTGGGTGAGGGGTAGATGATGAGACGGGTGAGTTGTGGATTTTAGTGTAGTGAAGTGGAGGTTTGGGTTATGGTAGTTTTTGACATAGTCGGTTATGGTATGGGTGAGGGGTGGTTTAAGATGTAATTTAAATAGTAACATGTGTGAGTTGTGGTGGGGATAAGGTAGTTGTCAGATTTCTGACTTAGGGTGTGTGTGGGTTGTGGTTTTGGCTGAGTACGGGTGGGTGGTGGATTGGGGGTGTGGTGTGGGTGGGCCATGAGTCCTGCGCATGAGTCATGAGTGTTGTGTGTGACCAGTTCATGGGAATGTTCTGGTAAGGCATAATGAGCGATTACTGGGGCGAGTGGGTTTTGTTATTCTTGCGTCATGGTGTAATTACCCATGGGTGGTATTTATACTCTTTGGTTCTTTCGGTAAAGTCACGTAGGTATAAAATAAAATAAATCACGACGTTTCGGGCGCAACACAAGCGTCCGTCATCAGGTGGGAAAGCATGGTCTGCTGCTGAGGCAGACTGTTTTAAAAGGTTTGAAATGGGTGTAGCCCAAGGGTCATAAAGAAGTGGCCGGGGCTAGTGATGTTAATGTGAGAGATTAGCATGTAACTGTAGAAAAGGAGAGCTGCCTCCTCGACGAGGGCACGGAAGTGGCTATGTTAATTGTGAGAGATTAGCATGAAATAACAGCTGACATAGGCAGGTAAGATGGAAACATCACAGTCAAATTTCGATTTAAAGCTTTCGTGACTGCAGGGATTCATCTTCTTGGTTCTTTCAGTAAAGTCACGTGACTTTACCGAAAGAACCAAGAAGACATCACAGTCAGTTAATACTTTACCTGGTTAATAGCGTCCTTCCAATGATTGCTCAGTTTGTACCCATCCTCTTGGTTGAAGTTGTGTCTGTGTTTATATATCTGGTGGTTTTGGTGGATAACGTGTGGATAGTGTTCACTACATAAAGTCATTATGTGAATAATGGATAGGTACTATTTCAAGGCATGCTGTGATGTGTCAGTGATGTGATTGGTGTTTCCACCAGTCATGATGGGTAGCTCTTTGCAATGTATAATGGGTAATCACAGCTTCAAAACTATGTAACAATTTTTTATTTTACTAGGTAAGGTCCATGGAGTTATATAGCTCTTTTTCATAAGCTACCTGGCCAGGAATGATAGCTCATGTAAGTGGCTTATCATCATGTGGACATTTATTGCAGCTATTCGATTCAGCCATATCTGCTGGGTCCGCGACCCGATATTATCGTACACCGCATCCATTATACTTCTTGCTAGAACTGTGGTTACTAGTCACCTACTGCAATATATTAGTAACCTGACTTTTTTTTTTAAATCAAGCCCTGGTAATGAGTTCATGGTAATTTCATTATGAATGTCACACAATGCCCGTAGATTGCAACTTTATGACACCACTCAACCAACATCGTAATGTTGAGAGATATTGCTTAAGTGTGCTAATGTATTGACCAAATTCTAACCAATGAAGCTTGACACTGGTGGTTTTAGAATTTTCATGACGGAATTTAACATGAACATACGATATTTCACTCAAACTGCTTGAGCCCTATGCGGTTTGAGCGAATCATATGTTGATGTTAAATTCAGTCACGAAATTTTTTAAGTCTCACCAGTGAGGAGCTTTAATGGTCAAAATTTGATCGGTACACTGACATGTGTCAATAATGTGTCAACGGCGACAATTGTGTTAGGTAGTGGAAGGTTAGTGACATCAATTTTGGTATAAAACTACATGGCCGAACCCCAAACAAATATGGTTCCTTGTATTGGCTACGGAAGCCTATGTTTTAGTTGATAATGTTGCAATACAGGTTTCCCTCGTTATTTGCGGGTTTAGTTTGTGCGATTTCGTGGATATGCGGCTAACCTATTTCTATCCAAAATGTGCTTCGCCAGTCTTCCCTCTCCCGCCCACCATTGCTCAAACTGCTCGTGTTGATAAAATTTTATGTATGTTTTTACAATTATAAAGTGATTTTATTACCCCCATTGTCATCCAAACTACCATCTAGTACGAGTGGCCTTGTGATCAACAAGTACAACGTAGAGGTGGGTGAGATTAAAAGCGAAATTGCATGTTCACAGTCCAATTTAAATACTTTTAAACCAAGGAGACAAAGTAAAGGCTCCTGTGCAATAACATTTTCCAATTATACCCACCTTCACTAATATCCTGGAACGCATCCCTATGTCTGCCGCAGACACAGCTTAGTTTGTAGACACCGGGGTATTGCATGTCAGGGATCCCTGACATGCAATATTACATTGTGGAAACTAAGTGACATGTCTCGGACCGGGTTCGTGAACATAACGCAGATCTGAAACACGGTAGGACCAATACCTCAGCCGTGGCTGATCATTATTTTAACGCTGTGGGCACACGTTAAATAGATTTTTCCAAGACGAAGGTACTCTCAAACCCACTGGCTATCAGCAAAGATTCGTCCATGAAGCCATCCAGATATATAAACACAGACACAATTTCAACCGAGAAGATGGGTACAAACCAGAGGTGTGGACTCGAGTCATGTGACTTGGACTCGAGTCAGACTCGAGTCATGAATTTGATGACTTCAGACTCGACTTGGACTTGCATAACAATGACTTTGTCCCACCTCTGAGGTGTGGACTCGAGTCATGTGACTTGGACTCGAGTCAGACTCGAGTCATGAATTTGATGACTTCAGACTCGACTTGGACTTGCATAACAATGACTTTGTCCCACCTCTGGTACAAACTGAGCAATCATTGGAAGGACGTTATTAACCAGTTTAGGTCATAACTGGCTGTGTTGTTCCCTTCCTACCTATGTTAGCAGTTATTTTCGATTCTGGTGAGTTACATTCACTAACAGCCACCGTTAGCTGTGTTAGTAAATGGTGGCTTGCTATCCTTTTTCACCTCCATGTGGCGATGTTCCTTTCCAAGCTCTCTCTCTAGCTTACATTTACAAGCAAATTTATTCCATTGACATGCTAATCTCTCACAATACAATGGCCGCCCCCACAGCTTAATTTATCAAGATTTCTCCCATCTTACATTTACAAGCAAATTTCATCTCCAGCCCCGCCCACTGACCCTTGGGCTACACCCATCTCAAACCTTTATAACTTCCTGCCTTAGCAGAGCTCCCTCCATATATGTGTTCCTGCCTCAGCAGCTCTCACCTGATGACGATTGCTTGTGTTGCGATCAAAACGTCGTGATATTGTTATTATTTTTATCATTTTTATTATTCTTTGGGTTTTTCGGTAAAGCCACGTAGAACGTGGCTTTACCGAAAGACCCAAAGAATATGAATTCCTGCAGTCATGAAAGCTTAAAGTCAAGATTTAGTCTTTTAATGATCAGTTACTTTTAGAACATGAATGACGTAGCAATGACCGTATTAAGTTAATGGTGTTGATCTTCAGGCACGGTACCATGAGTAATGGACATGGTGATTATGGAAATCAGTTTGGTTCAGTAATGGACATGGTGATCATGGCAATGAGTTTGGTTCAGTAATGGTCATGGTGATCATTGCAATGAGTTTGGTTCAGTACCATTTCCAGGACACGGTTTAAGTGCAAACCTGAATGACCAAGTGACTTGGCCGAAAAAAATACTGAATGTGGAGAAGTTGTGAGTCACTAGTGGAGGCGTTTGAGCAAGAATACTGAATACATGAGTGGTGGTTGAATGGGCGAGTATTATTTGAGTGCTGTACTGCATCTAAAAAAAAGTGGGGGACGTAGCAAGGAGCTGAGCAGTTGGGGAATGTGTTTAAGACATTATTTAACCACAGTGAATAATAGGTGAACGAGCAACTGGTGTCTGGGCGGCTGATTAAAACTGGCAAATAGTGGTGAGAGTATGCGTATCTGAACAAGTACTGTATTGAATATAAAAGGGGAAATGTCCGATTGAGTGGGTGAGAAGCCAAGTCGAGTGAACGAATGGGTGTTTAAGGAAGTATCGGATGTGAATCAGACAATATTCGAGTGGGCGGTGAGTGGAGTGAGTAATTTACTCGGATGTGAAGTCATGGCAGTGGTGACTCACCCATCTACCTAAACGCGTATCACAATAGAGATTGGGCGGCTCGCCCGAGAGGCGTAACTGAGACCAGAAAATTCGGTAGACTGCATTCGCCGCTTAAGTAGGCGGAACGGAAGCATTGGTATGAACGCACGAGTATATAAACAATGTGAGTGGGTGGTGAGTAAATGGGGTAACTCAGTGGTGAGTTAATTCACTCATAAATTGAGTCATCACACAGTTGACTCTGAGTCATCATCACACGGTTGACTCTGAGTCATCATTCCAGACTGGTGAGATAGACTACTCATAAGCCACAACATTTGCACAACAGATACAGTGATGGGCGGTGCCGTTCCAACTCGTGGGGGTGGGTGGAATGGGCGGCCCCATTCCATCTCCCCATGGGGGGTATGGGCGGTTCCATCTCTCAGTGGGGGTGGGTAGAGTGGGCGGTGCTGTTCCAACTCGTGAGTGGAGTGGGTAAAGTGGGCGGTCCTATTCCGTCACCCCCCAAGGGTGGGTGAAATGGGCGGTCCCGTTCCATCTCCCTCATGGGGGTATGGGCGGTTCCATCTCTCAGTGGGGGTGGGTAGAGTGGGCGGTGCCGTTCCAACTTGTGAGTGGAGTGGGTGGAGTGGGCGGTCCTATTCCGTCACCCCCGAGGGGTGGGTGAAATGGGCGGTCCCGTTCCATCTCCCCATGGGGGGTATGGGCGGTTCCATCTCTCAGTGGGGGTGGGTAGAGTGGGCGGTGCTGTTCCAACTCGTGAGGGTGGGTAAAGTGGGCGGTCCTATTCCAGTCACCCCCCAGGGGTGGGTGAAATGGGCGGTCCCGTTCTATCTCTCCATGAAGGTGGGTGGAGTGGGCGGTCCTATTCCGTCGCCCCGTGGGGGTGGAATGGGCGGTACCATTCCATCTCCCCCATGGGGGGGAAGGGGGCGGATCCACTCACCTCCCGCCTCCATATCCACCGCGGTCACTCCTCACAGCGCCATCTTCACTGGCGGGCGGGGGTGAGAAGCGGGGTTACGGCAGGCGGAGTCGAGCGGACGGAGAGCGAAAATAGTTCCGCTATAATAACCCCACCACCCACTCCAGTGTGGCGGTACTTGCACTATTTTATTTTAGCGATTTTTATCACCGATTGCTATTACGGGAGTATATATTTATTTTTTTGATCACGAGTTTGTGTGTTAAATGCGAGCTGAGGGGGCGTTTGGTTAGTGTGGTGGGATCTGTTGTCACCATTAAGTTCGTATTTAAATGTTTTATTGACTGCGTCTTACGGACTGGCGATGAAGAACGACTACGACTAAGAACTATTTTTGTAAACTATACAGTACAGTACTCGTGTTGCTGATGCAACAGCAGCAATACTCTTGAGCAATATACAACAGTAACGCGAGAGTAAGAATTGTTAATTAAGGAACATTTTAAAAGCTTGTTTGAAAACGATGCGAAAATCTTAACGATCATGGCCAACGAAGATTGGAACCTGGGCGCCATGATGATGATGATGGATGGAGAAGGGGGTGATGATGATGATGTGGACGATGAGGACTACTACGACAACGACGATGATGATGTTGATGAACGCCACGGCCTCGTCCGTGGCCGTGGGGTCTTGGCCCGTTCTCGTGCCGGGCTTAAGTCCGCGACCGGCCGAGTCATCGCCGACCTCTTCAGGGTCCTGGCACCGTCTGTCCAGGCGAGTCCCGGACCCAGAGATCGCCCCTCGGCGTCCCCTGCCTCTTCGGCCTCTTCGTCCGCGTCCTGCTCGTCCGAACGGGAACTCATGAGGCTGTTGAGAGGCCTGCGGGACGAGGGCCTTCACCCGACGGTGCTACGCAGCAAGGACGTGTACGGGTACTCCTCCGTCACGAACACCCACCGCACTCCACCGCCTTCCGTCGCGTCGTCTCCTGCCTCCGTGTCGTCACTATCGTCGTCGTCATCGTCGTCGTCGAATTCCTCCGTGACGTCCGCGGGCTCCCTGGACCCCGGCCACCATTTCGGCGGTGGCAGCAGCGCCCCCCTGCGGCGGCGGCGGCGCCGCGTGGTGCATGCCGGGAAGAGGCGGCAAAGTTTGAAAGCCCTCGTTGAACGTGGAGGCCGCGTCTCGTTGCTCGGCAGCGGCGGCCGGGCTGGCCGAGTGCGCAAGCGGAGGCCGCCTCGTCGACCCAGTTCGTCGACGTCCGGCGACGCGAGTGCCGAAAAGGGTCGAAGGGAACTGGCGAACCGGAGAGACCGAAACGGCGAGCCTTGGCGTTCGGTGTCCGTGACGGTCGGAGACTCGTCGTCGGACGAGGGGGTCGCGATTGCGCGCATGCAGGCGCAGCACCAGCTCCGGGTCAACCTGTCTCCTGTCATCAGGCTACAACCACTGACCATTTCTGTGGACGAGAGTGGCCGGCTGTGCGGCGTGAGACGCTGACCGTACCGCGGGTACGCCAAAGCCTAACGGGCCGAACCACAACAGAAACGAGGGAACCCCTCCTGTTTTGTTGGGCTTGTTCTGGTTTCTTTACAGCACATGAGTCCTGAAGGACCGTCGACGAAAAATGGGATTGGGCCAGGCCTGAGCTGGTGAAGAGACGTTTCTTTCGGGATGATGATGGGTGGTGCCCAACTTGGCTGGGTGACTATTTCTGTGGTCATGTCTGCCTTGACAATTCCCAGTGATTATCTGGAACATTTCAGCGAAGCTGCGTTTTGTTGTGAAGATTCGTCGACGTGTGTAAATAGAAAAATATACTGTGATCCGGATTTGTATTTATCGATTTGTATGCTATATTTTTTGTTACTTTGTAAAGCATTTATGTTTTTGTACTGAAAAAAGTAAGTGTAATGAGCACCTTCAGGGTTGTGTGTGTATCAGACCTGGAGTCAGAATTTGTATTGCAAGCACAGTGTAATCGTAATTTCATCGTATACTGCTGGTATAATTGTACAGTCTGAACCCGCTTAGCACGACCCAGTAGAACGCTGATTCGTTGCAGCGCAGTTTGTTGTGGAAAACATTTTTACAAAAAAATTAAGAAAATCAAAACGTAAATCGTTACGAGTGAGAACACGCAGCTCTGGCCGAGGAAATCACAATTCATGTCACGATATTATGAGTTGTAATTTTTATGCCATGAAATCTTTACAATATGTATTATTAGTGCAATTACTGATACCGAAATGGAGCCCTCTCATATTGCTTGTAGGAAAGAAGGCTTTCGAGAATTAATCACCAAATATACAATGGTATAAATCTTGACTTAAAGCTTTCGTGACTGCAGGTATTCATATTCTTTGGGTCTTTCGGTAAAGCCACGTGGATAGAAAAATAAAAAAAATATATCATGACGGTTCAATCGCAACACAAGCAATCGTCACCAGGTGAAAAAATATAGTGGGAGAGCTGCTGAGGGACAATTTTTATTCTATCTACGTGGCTTTACCGAAAAACCCAATGAATACAATGGTATAATGATCCCGTTTCGTGCCAATTTGATTAGTGCTCATTTCTCCAGGAACATATCTTGAGTACTAAGCGAGGTCTGCCTGTACTTCTAATTGATCCCATGTCCAGTGTGTACCAGGAACGTTTTTTTGATGACCTTTTGGTCAAGAGGGGGTTTATCTTGTTCTTGTCTTAATTACATTTGTGAAAAGTTATATATTTAACTGCATCATGCCTGGCAAGCTGTGCAGTAATATAAGGTCTTTTGTTGCACATATATTTTGAGTTTTAATTTGGTTTTAGGGTTCTTCCAGAAGGCACTCAAATTGCCTATGACAAATAGACAATGACACTTTTTCACATGCAATTGTCATTGATAGTGAGAAACTTTGAAACCGTACGGAAAAAAATTGTGTCATCCAAGAAAACTGATCACATTTGTCTAATAATGCCTCAAAAGTAAAAGGTCAGTGACGTTTTGGGCAATGACCCCTTAATAGCACATTTGCCACATTATATTTGGGTAGTGGCCTCTCATGGCACAAACATTTGTGGTATAAAGAAGGGCCATTCCCTGAAACATCGCTTATTTTCCCATAAGGTAGTGTTTACCAATGTGTTTTTTGTTATTTGTGCTTATGTAGCACTGCTGACACGGTATGACTAAACTATTTCTAATATAGATGCATTTCTTCGTCTTGAAATGTGTATTCTTATCTTGCGTCTTCACGCAAAATGGGTGCTTAGTGCCCAGTTGTGTTAAGACACTGGTGAACGCTGCTGGTCTAGAGGGGAAGGGCTCGACATGACCTTAATTTATTGACCCCAAAGGACCATGTAGAGTTGTACCGTAATTTTAAGAAAAATGTATTCGGATGTTTTTGTCCCTATAATATGGCAAAGGTGTTGGTGTAAAATACGTGTCTGGTGTGACCACGCACTCTTCTTGACACGTGGAGCTTGTTAAAGTTTGTGCCGTAATCTACAAATTGCCAGTTAAACATTTGAGACATTTGCTATGCTATTTTGGCCAACGTTGTGGTGACTAATGAGATATTTAAGTTTTAATATCTGTTTTGTACACTAGTATGCAATATGTTCCCTTACTTTTAAGGTTGATATTTAATAAAATATGAAAATAATTTTGCTTCCCTGTATTTTCTGGTCTGTGGTGGTCTTTTATATGCACATGGCAGACCCGTAAGTAGAGGAGTTCTTAATAGATGTATAAGACTTCATAGAAACTTTATGGATTGGTTTTAAGAGTTTATAGCAATTTTTACTCATTGAAAGTTGTATATATATAAAGTCACGTATAAGGGAAATAATATTTTATTATTTCCCTTCTACGTGACTTTACCGAAAGAACCAAGAATATGAATCCCTGCAGTCACGAAAGCTTTAAATTGAATAGTTTTATGTCAATCTACAGGTTGAAGACAATTTGTCAAGTCTGTAAATGACAAGAAAAAACCCATAATACGATGATAGTGCAGGCTTATTTTTTTAAAGTACATCCTTTGAGCCTTTACAAAAACCAGAAGCATTTGAACTGTACTCTGTCGGGTGGTGGTGGGTTTTAACGAGATTTATATATTTACACGATATAACCCACCCCCCCCCCCTCTTATAGCGACATTCAAACTATTTTGATGGTGACCAAAATGTCCTTAAAGAAATGTTGATGGGACAATTTGTGTAGCACGTTTGAAATTTGCAACTGTTTTTAGTTTTTTTTGGGTTAAGTTTTTGGGGGGATTTTGGGGTTTCATTTTTGTTAGTTTTTATGAGTGTTTTTTTTTTGGTTTTTGTGGCTCCTTTTCAATGTGTCGACTAGTTTACAGAAATAGATGCTTTATAATTCGCTGCAAGTAGCCTTGAGCAAAATATGTGGTCTCGGCAAATGAACTATTCGGTTCGGTTATTGGGAAGATGGCGAAAATAAAAGTGGTGCACCCCCATATAAGAACGGCACAAGTGATGCAATCAAGTCCCCTTGTTTATGGAAGTTGATTTCGCAAACTAGGCCTGGCTGCTCGTCCATTTTCTGTAGTGGCTCAGGAGTGGGGAAATTTGTGATTTATTTTAGTTGCTTACAAACCAGTTTTTATACTGGTAGGAACCTCCTGGTTACACCAGCCCACATGGGATTATTGCGTCCGTCGTGCAGGGAGGGGCTGGGTGGGAGGGGTGGGGCTAGGTGGGGGGTGTGAGGGGTGGGGCTGGGTGGGGAGGGGCTGGTCACCCTGTGGTGCCCTTATAAAACTCAACGTTTAACCTACTCACGCCGGCTTGTGCCCGCCCTCAGTCGGGCATATTTGTGGAATACACCACGCCGCCGTTGACCCTGGCCATTGACCGAGCAACCCAATGTTCTTACCAGCTCCCTCCGCAGGAATGTGTTAAGTGTGCGTGGTATGGGCAGTGATGAGTTCAAGGGAATTTTAGTTTTTCCTTGTGGGTAATAGGTTATTCAAGTTAACATTTGAGTTACCGGTATATGTGGCATAGGTAGAAAAGGACTTAAGTGTAAACCCCATTTCAAAAGTGAACATGAAGGAATTGGCCAAACATCTCTTCGTGAAATTTTTTTCGTGACTTGGCGACGCTTCCATAAATAAAATAAAGTGATACATGCGAAGATTCCGACACGCTGGCGGGACTATGTCGCTCAGCTGGCCTGGGAACGCCTGGGAATTCCCCAGGAAGAGCTGGAAGAGTCTGTCGCCAGGGAAAGAGGTCTGGACTGCCCTACTCAAGATGCTGATGCCGCGACCCTCGCCACCACAAGCGGACTGAGAAACGAATGAAGATTGCGAAAGTGCTTTCAAATGTCTGTCATGAAAGACGCTTACATCCATGTCGGTTTGTGTGCTGATATTTGAAGTGCCTATCTACATTTTAAATCACTAAGAAGTTTGCCCTGAAGTTTAGAATAATTTATTTTGATTCCATACAGCAATTTTGAGGTCGAGCTTCAGTACAAGGTAAATTAAAATACAATTGTTACCAGGTTCTCAACATTTCCGCTTGCTCAAGGTGGTTCACACAGTAATGATTTTTCTCTGTTTTAAAGACCTTTACAGCATGCAAACAGCGTGCAGCACAAACAATAAATCGTTACCATGGAGTTGATGTCTGCCATGTAGGTGCATTGTTTTTCTGGGCATAGATTAGACGTAACAATTTACCTTTCCAACAATGTGATCTGTCAATCTTGTCACGAATATATATTATTATACATTTCAAATTGTATAGTCTGTCTCGATTGTCCTGTTTTGTATGGTCAGTCCACGTTGTATTTTATTACTGTTTTGTTTTCTTAGAACTACTCTGTATGCTCGTATTTGATTTGGTAAATTATCAGTCTTAATTTTCCGATGATTTCTCATTTGTTCCATTATCCGCAGGCCAACAAACCATATGTGTAATTGTTTAGGTAATTGATTCATACTCTCACGACTCAACACATATATCACACGTTGTGGTGGGTGCTGCGGTGGTGAGATGTTAACTACCTCTCATGGTATACAGGAGATCATAGGTTCGATCCCAACTTTTCTTTTTCTTTCATATGGCCGATGTAGATTCAGAGCAACAACTACAATTTCACATTCAGGTGGTCCAGCCAGATAATCGTGCCAGGAGCAGTGGAGTGTATCGCTGTGATGTCTCCCGACCCTGATGCCTGTATATTTGGAGTTAGCATGTTCTCCCCGTGGTCGGGTGGATTTTTCGCCTTCAGTTTTTCCCTCCATATTTAGAAACATGCATTTAGTATTTGGCTGCTATACATTTCCAAATAATAAGCCACTTCATTGGACTATCATTTGTGGCCAGGTTGCTTCTGAAATAGAGCAATATAGCTCGGTGGACCTTACCTGGCAAAACAAAATTGTTTATTTTTTAAGTTTATTATCGTGAGCTTATGAATCAATGAATCGATGCACAATTCCGTGCCTCGCATACATACATACTGTATGCGAGGGGCTGATTTTTAGAGAGGTTTGGCGATGGCTTGACACCTCCACAGCAGGGCGTCGCTCTCCGTGGCTCTCTAAGCCCAACGGATACTGAGAGGGCTGCTGATGGACTGGGAAACACCTGTAATCACCAGCTCCTGTGAGGGGAGGGAGGGGAAAACACAAGGGAAGGGAGAGTTAATGCCAGTGCGGTTGTTTGCGTGTGCACGGTGCGTACATTTTTAGCCGTCGTTAATTATAGGACGGCCGTTTTTAACCCAATATTTTTGCCGCTCTTCAATTTGGGTTGGTGTTTACATAAACGTGTGATGCTTTTAAACCGTGTTTTTTATAGTATAGAGTTACAAGGTTTTAATATGTTACGAATATGTAACACCAGATAATTAGCTGGAGTAGTGTAATGGATTATCCAAGCTTCAATATTAATAGTAATCGTTATCATAACAGTATTTAAAGTATTAATGCTTACCTAAATGTCAATATTATCAGCAATCCTTAATGCAATTCAGACTTGAAAATGATAATCATGCCAACATTTGAAATGAATGTGGCTGTGAGTGTACAAAGATGGCACAGAGGGGAGCACAGGTGATGTATCTATCCACCAGTCATCTCAGTCAACCCATAACACCTGGGTCCATCTCAACCTGCTGGCGACACTTCACGTGGCTTCATATGCACCTATCATTGCACAAGCGCAGTGTTAACATCACCGTTAATGTAGAATTGGCGGCTGTTTTCGAAAAGAACAAATCTGTGCTTTGGAGCTGTTCAGGAGGTTTACTGTCAGCTGTTGGAAGCCTCGAGGCTTCAGGCTTCGGTAGTCAACATCGCGCTCACAAGTGTACACAAGGGCACGACCCCCCACTTCGCTATTGAGTGTGCAGGTGGTGCAATTGCACCTAGGACCCATGAGCTGGAGGTACCCAGATGCTAGACTGTCATTAGGGGTGGGGGTCGTGGGCACATTGCCATTCTTTGTAACAGTGCGACAAATGAACTACAATATCTTGATGATCTCGTCAAGGAGCATAAACCATCACGCAAACTCTGGTCATCCTCGCAGCGGCCTTTGGCTAACCATTGAACAAAGACGTTCACTGCATTGCGCGCCTTCAGATGCGCTTCTGCGGTCGTCTGGAACGCTCTTCTGATATTAGGAAGCCACTGGAGCTATGCACATTTAAATTAAAGTTGAAAACTCATTTCTTTAGAACTGCATTTTGTGTTTAGTTTGTCCTTCCTCCGCACCTCCGATAAGCATGGTTGGCTACGTACGTGTCAAAAAAGTGTAACATACATAACAGGGCCAATCTGCAATTGCCATAATTCCACAATCATATGATCAAATGATCGAAGGTGCCACTTTAATTAGACTTTTGAACTGGCGTGTGGCTGTCACCATGGGTGGTTTTCCACTGACCATTTGCTGAGCTATGGCCAAACTGATATGCTGGCCTTACATGACATCTGAATCTGGCTTGGGGCCAAGCAGGGTCAGGGGTGGGGCTAATGACATTCCATGCGTATGACATCATCACACCCGAGAAAGATGAACAATATGACATACAGTGAATTGCAGGTGTGTGCGAGTGGATATCAGTTTAATGGGGAGCGGTAGTGTCGAGGTTAGTGCGCTGCACTACAAACCTGGTGACCCGAGTTCGATGCCCACTCACGGTCAACACTAGTGACGATTATCTGAACCAGTCCTGGGCCTCTCCTAGGTTGACTCGGCCTCAAATGAGTACCTGGTGTGGTGTATAAACACCACCACTAGGTAGACAAAGGTGGCCAGGCGTGGCGCTGGCCACCCACCCCCTCGTGTGCTGTGCCAGCCTTCATAGGTGCTCGCTGACATCACTTGCCCTACAGTCTGTTAAGGCTATACGGGGGATCTTTGTGTATTTCAGTTTGAGCACGACCATGTCCTCTACATGCATCTCAATGTCGCACATTGCACGCGACGCCCATGGCACGGCTCTGCTTCTACAGTGGGAAAAGTATGGCGCCTCCTGACCTGTGACAGCCTGGCTCGGCGCAGCATGGATGTGTCAGAGGAAAAGGAATATCGCACTCCTGTCTTCCCATCCCATCAAGCAGTGCACGGCGTTCCTTACACGTTCGCACGTCGCTCGTGCTCACCCCATACCCCGTACGTACCCCCGTGGATGAGTGCGTGTAGCTGGTCCAGGACTGGCCGTTGACGGTGACGGATGTGGGCTTGGACGAGACGCCCAGCACGCGGATCGCTCCGAGGCTCAGCGCCTTTGCGTCAGGGCTGCCGTTCACCTGCACGGTGTTGTGCAGCTCCCCCTGCGAAGTTCAGTTTGGTTACAGATAGCTTCTTTTTAAATCCTTTATATTAAGTTCGCGTGCTTGCGTGCTTGCTTGCTTGCTTAGGACCGTGCAAATCTTTCGGTCGTTTTTTAACCCACTTCCCGTGATCCAATCGAGCTGACATTTTCCACACAGACTCGTTGTGCCAGACAATTATTGTTCGTGAAAAAAAATTCCCCAAATTTTACACTTTTTAGGCAAAAAAAATTTATTTTACATATATTCAAATAGAACGCATTCATGGCTTTGGCTGAACGTCAGAGTGTAAGAGCCCAGAGCATAACCCCTCCACAGGCCGTGGTGGAGTAGCCAGTTGGTAGCGCCCTCGCTTCCCATGCCAAAGGTCGCGGGATCGATCCCCGCGTCCTCCACAGGCGAATATATTTTTAAATCCTTTATATTAAGTTCGCTTGCTTGCTTAGGCCCGTGCAAATCTTTCGCTCGTTTTTTAACCCACTTCCCGTGATCCAATCGAGCTGATATTTTCCACACAGACTCGTTGTGTGTGACAATTAATTTTCGTGAAATTTTATTTCCAAAATTTTACACTGTTTAGGGAAAACAAATTAAATATTTAATTACCAATTGCTTAATACTGGCAGACAATCATCTGACCCATAGATTGCAGCCATCTCAAGCCAGAGGACGAGAGAACTCTAGCCGCCACGCATATAAAGGATTTAGAGTGAAAAACTTTGTTTTTACGGGTTTACTTGTTAAATCCTTTATATTAAGTTCACTTGCTTGCTTGCTTGCGCCTTACGACCGTGCAAATCTTTCGGTCGTTTTTTAACCCACTTCCCGTGATCCAATCGAGCTGACATTTTGCACACAGACTCGTTGTGCGTGACAATTTATTTTCGTGAAATTTTTTTTCCAAAATTTTCCACTTTTTAGGAAAAATAATATTTCATATCTAATTTAAAATACCAATGTGATAAAAATTAAACTCTTACTCAAGAAAAACAGAAATGAATAATAAAATAAAACCGATGCCACGTATATAAAGGATTTATAGTGAAAAACTTTGTTTTTACGGGTTAATTTTTTTTCCTTCGTTTTTGTTTTACTTTGCCTCCATCTTTAAATGCACTATCCATTGCAATGCTCGTCATTTCATTACCTATAGTCGTGACATCCATTGCATTAGTTTGATTTTCACGAGATTTGAATATTGCTATACAATCTGTCTACATTTTCCTGACAGGAAAAGCTGAAAAGTGCATAAAGACGCAGGAGAGATTCATTCTTGCGAATGTATTTAAGGATCAGGGGGATAACAACAAATTCCATGCATCATAAGACAGTGGGGCTTTGGTAGAACATCATCGTTTAGAAGTCATGATTGGCAGACGACGGTGAGACCACACTGGAAGAATGACCTTCGCAGAAGTGAAGCAATGAGATGAGTGAACGTGCAGGCGTGTGATGGATTTTGGCACAGCCAGACTGAGGAAGGGTGACAGTGTTATGAGGCTTTCAGCCAGCAGTGGAAATTTTTTTATCGGGATTAAGACATTTAAACTTAAAACAACCCATGATTCGTTCAAATATGTGTTCACTGAAGAGATTGTAACATGATGCTTTTTAATGGAATGTGTTTTTGTGCACAGTAATTTTTATGAAATAAAAAATGCGTGGATTAAAAGTGTGTTCGTTGGCACCCTGCCTAACATGTGCGCACCTTTTCTACGTGCGTTTGTGTGTTTCCATACGTACGTGTGGCCCACGTGTTTGTGCATGGAGGTGAAACGATGACTTTATAACCAGAGGGGCATATCCCATGGCACATGGGCGCATGGGGCACCACGGGCATTTCTCAACCACCACCATGCATCCCACCAACATTACCAAACAAAAGTGGCTTAAAAAATACCCCGTATATCATTTCATAGACTGTTGGGGTAAGTGCTGTTAATGTGGGTACCTCATTGAGCTTAGCTGGCAGAGTGGCTCAAATGCGTGGTGTGGCCAAAATTTCACCTGGCTGCTTTCATCTCACCCCAGCACCGATGTTGATGTACTGCACCAAGTACTAATTTCAGGCCGAGGTGACCAGATGCCGTCACCACCACACCATCCGTATCACCCCCAACTCCATTCTATTAACACTGAGTTATCACCACACCATTAACACCACAATCACGACCACTACCCCCGGTACTGCAATGCTGATCGTCAATGCGCAATACCGGGTGGCTATTGCGCATTTCTTGAGTACTGCTATTGCGCAATCACAATACAGCAGTTCTGGAGTCTTGCTGTATTGTGAGTGCGCAATAGTCGTATGAGGGTGGTGAAAGCAGACATGAAAAATGTTCAGGCCTTCCACAATGGATACCTCAGAAATATCGGCGGTATATTTTGGCCAAACAAAATTTCCAATCATTAATTGTACTTTAGGACCCGAAGCCCTGATAACATCACAAACTACAACGAAGACTGCGATGGCCATAGGGGGCCACGTCCTAAGAATGGAACAGAAGTGCATCCCTAAAATTGCTCTGAGATGGACGCCTCCGGGGCAAAAAAAAAAATGGGGGAGGCCAAAAAAAAAAACCACCTGGCGAAGAACCGACGCCGAAGAACTCGGTCGGGTGAAGCTCTCGTGGGGAGAGGCACACAGCATGCAGCCAAGGAGAGAAAAAGACGGAGAGAGCTCATTGTAGCCGTACGTCCCATAGGGGATGAAGAGGAGCGATTAAAGTAAAGTGAGTGATGGCCCCCCCTAAACTCTGAGTGAGCATGCAGCGCGTGTGAATGCCCTCCTGTGCACGACTCACGCCGGACACGGAGTAAGAAGCCAGGAAGTAGTTTCCTTTTTCAATGGGATCTGTGGAAGAGAGAATATTCAAAGCATGATTCGCGCATTGTAAATGGAGCATTTGTGCGTTGTGTACATTAAAAGACGAGTAGACACTGGTATTTGCACCATTCTTACAGCACAAGCTTGTCACCAATGTTTCACAGATAGGTTCACTCTGACAGTAGGGGGCGATGTGGCTGGGTAGATTTTATCCGATGATGTAAACTTGCGGGTCATTTTTATAATTTAGGAAATTTGGACTCCGACACACTTGGCCTCCTCTTTTTTGTTTTAAAACACATCCAGGGATCTTTAACGTCCCCGCCAAAGCAGACAGTGCATCATAATTAGTTTATGCACCCCCAATGTTAACCAGGGGTGTCCACTGGGCTCGCACCTCAAACCTCTGCAACGGGGCGGCCAATGCTCAACCGCTGGGGCATGCCCTGATTATCCTTGGTAATTGGTGCACGTCGTGAACACATCTGTATTCGCACTTGCACAAGATTAATTGGTACGGCGTAATGATTTCTCCTGCGTAATGATTTATCCCGCGCAATTATATGTGCTGGCGCAGTTCATCCACGGTATGATTTAGAGGGCTTTCCACTGTTTATACAACATTTGTCTCATCTTCTGCTGTCGGGTTCTTCCCATTCGTGCTGATTCTTGCATCCGAACTGTGGTTAGTCGAGCTCTGAATATTTAGATTGAGGTACATACAGCAATTCCCCGTTTTACGTCGGGGATGCGTTCCTGAAAATGCGCAACGACGAATATCGAAACGGCGTTAAAAGGGGGAGACGTACATTGGCATTACCGCACAGGTGGTCCAGATGTCTTGTGACCCCCAATTAATTGACCCAGAATTTGTTTTTCCTTCGCATATTAATTTCTACACTCTCTGGTTTATTCGGTAAAGTCACGTAGATAGAAAATAATAATAAAATAAAAGAAAACACGACGTTTCGGTCGCAACACAAGCGTCTGTCTTCAGGTGAGAAAAAATGATCTGCTGTTGTGGCTTTCTTTTTTTTTAAATCCTTTATATTAAGTTCGCTTGCTTGCTTGCGTGCTTGCTTGCTTACGACCGTGCAAATCTTTCGGTCGTTTTTTAACCCACTTCCCGTGATCCAATCGAGCTGACATTTTGCACACAGACTCGTTGTGCGAGACAATTAATTTTCGTGAAAATAAATAAAAAATTTACACTGTTTAGGGAAAAATAATTAAAAAATTAATTACCAATTGCTTAATGGTGGCAGACAATCATCTGACCCATAGGTGGCAGCCATCTCAAGCCAGAGGACGAGAGGACTCTAGCCGCCCCGATGCCACGCATATAAAGGATTTATAGTGAAAAACTTTGTTTTTACGGGTTAATTTTCTCACCTGAAGACGAACGCTTGTGTTGCGACTGAAACGTTTTCTTTTCTTTTCTAAAAAAATTCTATCTACGTGGCTGTACCGAAAGCCCCAAAGAGTATGAATTCCTGCAGTCACGAAAGCTTGAAGTCAAGATCCAAAAGATTACATCGTGAAACTACTTCCAAAGTCCATTCCAATATGTGTTTTTGACAATTGGTGGGTTGCCATTTTACGTGCCATGTGAAGGAGTCTACGATTGTTAATCTCGCTGCAATCGCACCAACATTGTTTTTTATCCTGTGAGCTAAATTAAGCGAAAATTAGGTTAAATCAAATTGAATGTGATTGCTTGATTTTTTAAATTATAATCATTGGTAATTAGACTGAGATACCATGACATCAATGCCAACTGGGTATTGATTTGTAGAACTGATTAATATTCATTTTTTTATTGAACTATTTGGATTACAAATTCCCTTTACATTCCTGTCTTGGTTTGGTCCGTGTGTTATCCAACTCAATACGAAGTTTGTTTCCTGAGGCAAAATCTATGAATCTGGATACATAGTTTAACACGTAAGCTTTCGTGACTAATATCATCCGTAATAGAGGGCAAACAGGACGAATGATCAGCACGAGTCTAAAAGAACATCAGATAAATATTAAATACTCCCAAATACAACTGTCAGCAGTAACAGAACACACGTGCCAACAAAGACACTCAATTGATTTTCATAATGTTGAAGTTCTGTGCAAAACTAGCTACGACTGGCCAAGACTAATTAAATAATCTATCGAAATTGAAAAAAATACAATTAATTGTAACCATTCGGATAGCTACCGACTTAGTGCTGCGTGGAAGCGAATTATAATTTTTTTTATCTTGATTTGAAGCTTTCAAATAATACATTGTTTAAATGAATGCCTATACAGGCCACCATACTTCAATAGAGATTACCATTGGTACGGCTATTTTAATACACACAATGGACAGAAAGGATGAGATCCAAGGGCTCCCATAATGCGCATGCATAATGTACGTTGACTCATTAACCCCCCCCCCCCCCCACTTTGCGCAAGAGCGCAGAAGTGTAGTCAACCCATATATACGCCTCTATATAAGGAACGAAAAAGGTGGACTTCTCCACAAATCTGGCTGTCGCCTGATGAAGCTAGTTGTAATTACTGGCCAAACGTCGTACTCAAGATTGTAAATGTTGTGGCTTGGCTCTCCAACACACCGGTGTGCTGTACTAGTGACGAATTGACATGTTCTGTTTACGTGACAACCCTTACTAGTTGACTGTGTCGGGTGGTGGCGGGTTTTTTAACGACACATTTATATATTTACGTGATCTAACCCCCCCCCCCCAAAAAAAAAACCTATATTGTGGTCTGTTAATAATTGGTGGCTCAAACCCAGATTCGAACCCAGCGACTTATCGGTCAGGAGCTGGGTGGATTATTCCATCGCAGGATTTTCTGAGATGCCAATGGCTTGGGGAGGAATTCATCCAGCAGTGGATGGACCGTGAATGCTCATGTTGATCTTAGCAGTGCTGGCCCCGGTGCTCCGACACTTGTTACCTCACTGAGCAACCCAGCCACCTCACCTTTGCTACCATATCCTTGGAGCGATTAATTAGGATATATTCAGAGGGGTAACATCCAAATTAGCTTGTACCATAATGCCAGAGGTATCAATGTAATGCTATACCGTATTGTGAGAGCCCTCTCGCGAGTATAAGAGTGGCGCACTATTCCAGTAACGTTCTTTGTCTTGCAAATTCTATTTATTGGCGCACCTCTGCAATCCAGCGGGTTAGTGGATTCAACGTGTTTGTGAAACAAGTAAGCTTTTGTGACCAATATTATCCATAATAATGGTTATTTTAGGGGGGTTAGATCGCGTAAATATAAATGTGTCATTAAAACTGCCACCGCCCGACACAGCCAATTAGTAATGTTTGTTACTTAAACAACACATTCCAATTAGATACTATTTCACCCCACCGGTGTGTTGGAAAGTAAACCCACAATATTTACAATGTGAGTACGACGTTTCGCCAGTTATTACGACCATTTGTGAAATTACAAATTCACCGGACTTCAATGTTGCCAGGAGATGACGGACAAAAATAGGTTTTCATTCCCCCTGTAGAGAGCTTGGAGTGTTTCTCCTCGTAATGTTTTTTTTCTGGCTGCTCCAGTTTGTTCCTTCGGGCAAATCACTCATTAATGGCATAAGCCTAAAATCCCGAAAGGAACCACCTCTTGAAAATGGGTCTTGAGAATCAGAAAGGTTTTCGTGGATTAATAAATGACGGACGTTGTTGTCTTGAAGTGAGCAATGTCTCGCTCCACTCCGACGGCGCGCATGGAAAGTGCGGCAGCTTCTCGGCATCTCCGTCGTCATCATCTGACCTCCCCCCACGACAACCGACGGAGCCTTTTTTGAAGCCGAGAATGACCAGCTTCTCTGCATTTTAGACACGTCCATGTTGTAGGGAATATTTCGGACGATTTCTTTTTTTGCCGTTAAAGCTTTTGGCCTCGAGCACGATGCGATATGTTTTCCGGCCCACATGCCAGCAAAAGCCTGCCACTGAGTGTCCGGGCCGCTGAGTCACTGCTCTCATTCAAAAACTCGTACTCAAAAACGATTCACCTTGCCAATAGTCAACAAGTGACAGCTCATCTCATCGAAATGGACTAACGGCTCATGTTTAATGGTATTGTTGTTTGTTCAGCACCCTCTTAATGGCTTGGCGTGTTACAGCGCGAATTCAGTTGTCATTGTTATTATTACATTATTATTGATAACGAAGCTCTGTATGCATGCATCACTCGATTTGCATTCACAGATCATCAGCACCAGTACAGCAAACAGAATGCTATGTTTTGCTTTGCGTTAAGGTCAAAGCCCATACTGTTTGGGTCGTGGCTTCTGTTCATGAAAGTGCCTTTCATGAATAGAAGCCAGGGAAAGAACAAGAGTCACGGATGTTCCAGCTGCTGCTGCTGCTGTTAAAGCAAAGTAAACCACGTGGACATGGGCAGCATGCATCATGGGAACAAATGGTGAGAGATGAGATACGGAATCAACTCGGGAGTGGAGACTGAGAGAAGGGTGGAGAAGCGGAGGAAGTGTTGTATACTAACCCTTCTTCCAAAATTGAGATTAATAATATTTGATGATATTTTTATATATTATCTTTTTACTTGTTTTTTTTAATGAATGAAACACACCAAAGCGCAGCAAACTGCAAAACACCAGGTGTTGTTAAGTAATAACTGGAGGAGGGCTAGGATGGCAGAATTTGCAACCTTGCTTCAAGGAAAGATAAGGCCTGATGAACGGGCACATGTCACCCGTGCAGGCGGCAGAGACAGTGGGAGTGTCAGCCAGACATAGTTAAGGCAAAAAGCCCAACCATCCTGCATGGTTTTAAAGTAACGTCAAAATTCGAAATTCAACAACAGAGTAGGCTAAATTATCGATCCTCGCGCTCGCTCAAATTGGAGACCAGGCTGCGAGCTACATCAATGAACCATTGCCCATTTGCTAATCCAATACTGAATGTTAATATTACTGAAGTCAAAACGAATTCTATGACCTCAGCACATGGGCAAATAATAGGGCAGTGTCGACTCAAAGG